AATGGAGAAGACCCACCTGATTCGGTGTCCAGCCCTAAGGGCAACGACGAAAAGCCAGAAATACTGGGAAGCAAGAAGATACCTAATTAACTGCTATAAATGTGCCCGCACCCCTCCTTTGGGGGAAGCTGAAGTCAAAGTTTAAGGGCTAATGATAAACCCCTGGGGGAAGCTGAAATCAAAGTTTAAGGGCTAATGATAAATATCATTACCCATGGGGGAAGCTGAAGTCAAAGTTTAAGGGCTAATGATAAATATCATAAAGCCTGCCATTTGAAATAAATAAATATAAATGCCAAGGCGACACGAATATGCACTTGTAATAAAGTCTAAACAATTTAGAGTCCACTGGTCATTTTGCGGAAGCTATTTTGCTTAGACCTGACCTCTCTCTCTCTCTGGGTTATACCAGTCTTCAGCCAACATCAAAGGTATTCTTAGCCGATTCAATTAAATCAAATTCCATTTGTCAGATGCCAATATTCAGTGAAAATAAAAAACCTATTTGACTGAATCCGACCTGTACAAGGCTTACTTCATCAAACCATAAAGACTTGCACTAAACCGATACAATGGAAAGCTCCAAAGTGAAAAACGCAAATTTATGCTTTCACAGACATGACCTGGGTGGTTTAGTCGATCCGTACGAGTTAAGATAACTAAACTCAATTAAGATTTTCTACCGAAAACAAACGAGTTAACAAGATGGCGTAACAATAACTTAAATATATAAACGTTGCAATCAGATTAGCAATGACATGCATATCGATTATTAAGTACATCAGATTAAAGATAGAACACTGAGTAAAATCATCAATATTGGATTAAATAAACTACAGAAACGGTTCAAAATCGTATCTATTAAATAGAGAACTGAGGGGCTCAAAGTTAGGAGATTTATAAGATGCAAAAAGAGGTAAAAACACTTTCAAAGTTTACACAACTTACGGCGAATCAAGAACATAAACAGACATATTTCGAGAAAAAATTACTTCTTCAAATTTAAGAGTATATAAAAACTCACCAAACTAATTAAGACTGACCACAAAAGGACCGAAAGAATATTCATGCCTACGCACTAAACACTATTGAGCATCAAACAATGTGAATTTTAGAAATAAAGTTCTATTAGCAGTTATAAATTAACGAAAATAACGCTTTTACCACATTTAGTAAATATTCGTAAAGTGAATAAACATAAAAGAAGAAACATACATTTGCCGCACACCATCCTCGAAGAACGCGATGCACAATATGAGACCCTTTTGGAAGGCGGTATTGGTACTGATATTGCCAAAACAAACAATATTTTAAAATTGTTCAAATCAAATTTGAGTTATAATATTTAGCACTCCATTATTTCATTTAAAATACTAAAATTAAAATAATTTTATCAAATGTGGCCATAATGAATTTGGTCTAAAATAATAAGATTTCACAACTCAAACAAAACAACTTAGATAGTTAAAAGTTATTTTTTATAAAATCGTGTTTTGAAAAAATTCTTAAAACTCTTCCTTTCACTTTTAAAATCGTTTATTTTTGCATTTTTCATAGTGGATTATGAGCTTTAAAATTACCTGCATTGTACTAGGATATCTGATTTAATGCAGAGATAGTAAGTTTTAGACATGTTTGATTAATAAATAAAATTGATAGACCGAACATAAAATACAGTAAATGATAATTCTGTAATTAATCTATGTTTTAGTCGCAAGTACGATTATGCCTATGTAAAAGGTTTATGGAACTTGGAGGAAATTAGCGTCGATTCCCCTCTGAATCGCGCCTATAATCTCAGAGATGCACCTATTTAACATGCTCAGAACATGAGATAAATGCATATTTCTGTTAGTATGCGCATTAAGTAAATCTGAAATGTGTTTAAATCTGAAAAACATGATTATTTTAACTCTTAATATGGTCATAAAAATGATAGTCACCATATATACATGGGTTAATATCAGTAAATTCTTACACAGCCATACTTTATGTGTAGTAATATCCTCGAACCGTGAATTGACTCATCTGATTTTACAGTTCTAAGGTATATGTGGTGAAAATGATACTATTTTGAAGAGTCTTCATACAGTAAGCATTAAATTGAAAAAGGAAGCCTCTGCCAGACAATGGATGGCTAAACCTCTTTGTAAAATAACACAGGATGTACTTATAGCTCATTAAAAGCCCATACGAAAATATTTTAATAACATTTATTTATATCTATTATTGGTCTTTAGCCCCCATCTTCCAGGCACATGATTCAATATAACTTGTTATCTGAATTTGGAATGATAATTGCCCTATAGAGATAGTTTCGAACTTATTAACAGTGCGTTCATCGAGCCATTTACTTTGTATAATTTTTAAAGTTACTAAAATCGCATAGAGTGATATACAGCGAAAAAAATTAAATAAAACCAAAACTTTCTCTCCCGCCACCCAACTCCCCACAAACTGCTCGAAAGAATGAAAAAGAATCAGGCCAATCATGCCACGACTACTGCATGAATATGTACAGATATCCATCCTACCTAATATACACATAATTTTTTATGTACAAGTGATTCTATGATTCTTAGTGAATACCATTTCAAATCGATACTTGCAATTTTAAATAAATTTGAAACAATTTTGAACCACACGACTTATTTTCGACAACTAAATACAGCCCTTTATGTATCTTGCCTATCGAGATGGAGCATATTGGAGCTGGTAATGAGGCAACATTGGAAAGGCAGCGGGAATGTAAATTAATGTTATGTTATTGCCAACTTCACTCTTGACAACGCGATTCTCAGTTTTCAGCGAGATTACACTTGTTACAAATTAAAAGTCAGGTGTACGAAAATGTTTAAACGGAATAACACGCTTATACTTATTGATTTAATCATTTATGGATATTCTAATCCAATAGTTGAAACAAAATCTTCAGGAAGAAATGGGAGACATCAAATAGACTTACATAAAGGATCAACTTGGATGAAAATAATATTAGGTTATGGGCATTAATGAGTAAAGAGCTAATTATTTAACAACATTAAAAATAAGAACTAGGCCATTTTACAATGCATTTCAGGGATATCATGAAAATAATCTCAAATATCTAACCAAACTTGTTGTTAAAATTTATTAGTCGTTGACTATCAATCATTGACTACCGTTAATGACCAACTTAGAAGTGGGACATTAGATGTAAACATGGCCGCCTGTGCTGGCTTCTGCTACTGATAATTTATCGATTCGATAGCTATTTGTTAAATAACATCAAATAACACGGCAACTGAAATGGATTAAGGGGGTAGTAAAATCATACACATAAGAAAGCCAAAAATAGATCAACGATAGAAATTAAAAAACAACGCTGGTTCCGTCAAAACAAATACCATTATCCTTTTAATATTTATAATTATAGCATCTTATTAAAAGCCTACAATGACTGGAAGTGCCAACTTAAACAAAATATTAATTTTGAATTATCTGATTGACAATTTGGCAAAAAAATTCTTAATTTTTCACTAAAAATTACCTAATAATTGATAAAATTTTGTGACAATATGATTAATAACATTAAGCGCAAATAATATAAAATTAAAAATGTCATGCCTATGCACAATACATTTCAAGGGCAATTGCGCCGTGCACACACTTTGAGCGTGACTTCTTTCTATGATCTTACCTTTGCAAGTTTTCCATGGATAAAGTAAGTATTAAATTTTCAAAATTATTCTCTCACAGGACCTAGACGAATTAAACGATGAAACCTTCGGAGATGCGGAGATTGGTATGTTTTTTTATTCTGAGTTATCGCTTTTAGGTGATTGGGAAATGGAGCACGAAAAATTCGTGTTGGAGTTTGATGCCGAAAAACTTCCACCAAGCCCTCGTGATATCCCAAAGATTTGGGAAACAACTGAGCTTTCAAACTTTTGGTCAGCCGGAGATCTGGAAGTTTCTCAATCATATGATTCGGTTTGTTGCTTCATTTTCTTTATTTGCTCCTTTTCTAGGTATTGAATGTTGTAGAGTCGGTTGAAAAGCTTGTTTCTGAGAACGAGCTGGAAGATAAAGTCATTTCGAATGTTCCGAAATTTGATCATTTCCCTAAATCGGATCAAGTTACGCCCATACCTCCTTCAGCAAAGCTCGGCGACGTGTGGGCATCACCTCTTTCTACATGTCAGCCTCCTCCATCAACCCCAAATCAATTTCTATCCAACAATAACAATGCAGCTCCTTCCAACGATTTGAATTTATTGGCTGACAGATTTGGGAAAGATATGTCATTTAATAACCAAGGAATATCCAGGGATAGTTTGCCTAAATTCGGTACGACTTCACTTCCTTGGGAGCAGGAAAAATCTAACGTGTTTATAAATAACTTTGGATCTTCGTTACAACCGCCTAAGCCTCAACCGTTACTCTCAATGCCAATGAACATGCCGGAGCAGCTTCAAAATTTACTAGCTTCTCAGTCTCCGCAATTTCTTCAAAGGTGCGTGATTTATATTTAATTTTCCTTGAATTTTGTCATAAGTTGGACCTGGGAATGGGTGAATGAAACATACACACCGAAACTTTTGCTTGATTTTCTAACCATTTGTTAGATATTTTGAAGTGGGCTAGATTATTCCAAAAATATTGAGTCCCACATTGATTTGAGAAGTGTTGTCACATATTGGCACTAGAAATCTCATTAAGAGTAATTACGAAATTAAGTCTATTTTGATTTAGTGTCCCAAGGAAGTCTTCACAGTACAATTTTCCCTAAACCTTGATCATGTTGATTGGAATCTTAATAGACAAGTATTTACTAAACATTCAACTGCATGCATTTTTTAGGTATTTCGTATTTTTATCAATTTGTTCGTCATTTAATACGACGTAATCTGTCTATTTCCATAGACTTTCGTAGAGGAAACTGGGGGACTATTTTCGAATATTACTAAAGATGGTAAGGTACTGCTGACACAAGTGATCTAATTTCAGTTGAGAAGTAAGCGAAACTCAGGTTCTACCTCTTTCCATGCTCGGAATTTAATGTACAGCTCTTGTTCAGTTGTCTGACAAATACAATGCATTGGCTATAACAACTAATTTTATTTTGTATTTTCCAGTTTGCTGAATTTACATGCTTTCCAACAAACAATCCAACGGAATCTACAGCAGAATCAGCAATTTCGGGGTGGTTTAATCTCTCCTGCCCCATCACAGAACTTTAACCCTCAACAATTCTCAGCACCTCCTCCACCACCACTTATCTCTGGCTCATTTCATCCGCATTCAGCAAGCTCATCTTCGCGTTTCCAATTCGCCAAACCCTTTCCACTTAACCCCCAATTTCAACCTAGACCTCAGGTCATGCAGCAACATCAATTTAGCAACCTCCCACTTCAGCAACAAGTGGGGATGTTCAATAGAAGGCCTATGCCAGCCTTACCCCCCGCACCATCTATGCCTCAAACAAACGGTGGTCGCTTACCACCCGCTAAGGTTGCGAAGTTGAAAGAGATCTTTGCGAAGAGAATTGAAGATGTGCAGCCAGATCCGTTTCGTTATGATCTTCGTCGCGGACCCTGGATGACGCCACACGATCAAATTGTAGTCCTCGGTTATCAGTTGCGGTCGTACAATTGCTCTAATACTTATGTTGATGTAAGTTATTTGTTTCTTTTTTTACTTAATTTTACTAAGTTTATTGGAACACTGTATGTGATCCGGAAGAGTATGTGCCATATTTACTGAGAAGATGGAAATGAAATAGAACTTGAATCCGCGTAATTCAAGTAATGGTTGGCGCTTAATAACAATGATCACTACGATGCTTCCAATCCGTTCGGTTACGATAGCTTCAACCTTGAATACTGTCTGTGCTTCTCCATCTCGCTCCACATTTAATGACTTGGTTTAAAATTAGTTATGGTTTTATTCGACTTAGAGGGTTCATAATTCATTTACTTCTAAATCTATCCATTTAGCCAAAAGCACTGGGCCAAAGTTTATATCGGGAGGTTTTGATTAATTCTTTGAGCCGATGCCAGGGGTGCTTGAAGTCTGATTTTGGGGGGGGGGGATTTTCAATGACTCTTGGGGCTGTTAGGTGTTGGTTTACATGATCGAAGGTTTGGGTTTGCTTACTTTTTTGAACGCATGTACTAAATGCTAGAATCGTAAATGAAAATCGCTATATAATTATTAAATTACTGTCATTACTCTCACATCTGTAGCGCAGTATATGGGATTGACCTTAAGTTGCGACCTTATTTTTGCATCTCCAGTTAAAGTTTGATGTCATTAATTAGACTAGGGTAATTAAATGCGGTCATTTTACATTGTTTATGTAATAAAAGTTGGTTGCCATTGTGAAGGTCTATGACCGCTTAATGTTTTCATTAGTGGTATGTAGAAATAAGTGAAGTGTGTAATTAAGATAAATTAGCTGGTCCTGCGCCTAGTTGTCTCTATGACCTTCGTGGTTCAAAGTCTCTTAGGCCAGTTTTTAACGCTATTTGGTTTAATGAACTTACATAACTTCATACATTTCACAAATTAACGTGTAATTCGTTTGGCTTTGGAAAAGCGTACATTTCAAATACATCGAAATTAGCCGGGTTTAAAGTAAGAGTTGATATTTGGGTATGTTTTCCCTGATTAATTTTTGATATTTGTCAACTCAGTAGTTGCACTTGATCTTATCATGTCGACTCGACTAGATTTCTGTTTTCTCTCTATCAATGTTGTTTGAGACTTCTCTGTGCTGCTGGAGAGGGACTTGAACTTAATCGATGTTGAGACACAGCTAAAAATGTTCCTTTTCAACTTCAGGATTATTACTGTACGGTGAAATGGCTTCGTGCAATGACTCGCCTTCGCGAAGCCCGATTGGCTGAGGGAGTACAGGTTCCTCAACCTTACGTTTTTATCCAAGCTCCTATAACCGCCTCCCATCTCCTTTCACCAGATCACCACCATCGTATTGCTATGCGCAGTAGTTTTATCGTCCGTCTTGTTCCCCTTAAAGGGAACCAGTCTGGAACAGGCACTGTTCTAGCTCTTCCTACTTCCGCCGAAAAACCCATTGCTCCAACACCGACCAACGAGGAAAAGGCTCCTGAACAACCTAACCGCCCCGACTCTGTAGCATCCACAGTTATGAGTAGTGCCAGTGGACTCTATGCGAATCAACTTGGAAGACCAACAAAGTCGAATGTCAAAACTCAGAGGATCATAGCTGAACTCTCTGTGGCTACAGCCATTGTCGATGAGGCGCAAAAGGAGCATTTTAGAACTGAGGTAAGTGTCTGCTTAAATTTTTGGGTAGTAGGACATACATTCAAGTTATAGTACAGTATGTTGGCTAAATCGAGTTAGGGGTTTAGAAAGTGGGAGGCGATGAACTAATTAATTTAGAATTCAGCAACGCACCACTTAAGGCCCGTGGACTCGCTTATTGAAGCTTACTGATTTATAAGTCGTGGCAATAAGGCGTTAAATATGTGGCTCTACTTAAATGATAAATATGTAGTTCAGTACAAGCTTAATTATATAAGTCTAGTCAGTCGGGTATTTGAGAGATGTCTGTTTAGGTGGGAACTCACCAGTTCATTTTTTTGCATTGTTTTTTTCCCCAAGGCTGAGGAAGTCGCTTCAATGTTAAAAGACCCATCTGAAAAGAAAGTGGCCTTGACCAGAGAATCTGAAGAGGTCACTGCTGCGATACGTCAACAAAATATTGAGCATCGCCACGTTGTTAGCCAACGTCGACGTCTTACCGTCCTGGCTAGAATTGAACGGCTCTACACCACTGTCCTCAGTATTGATGAAACTAACGTCTCCCTAGCTCGAATCTCCGTTCGTAATGAAGAGTATGTGTCCATTCTTTCCTACCTATTTTAATTGAATAGTACGTATCTGATTTTGTCGTTCTCTCGCCAGATCTAAACACCTTATGGGTCATCGATTACTCCTGCTCAAAGTTCTCCATCGCGATCTCTTCATTTTTAAAAAGGTTCAATCCGAAATCAACGAGGAGAAGCTACAACGCCGTCTGGCTATTGAAATCTTTGAGGCACCAAAGGGTATACGGGTCTTTCCTGTTATTCTCCGTTACCTCTTCCCGGTACGTTGCTAATTGTATACCATATGCGCACTATATGTAAGATTCATTTTGATATAATTTTGTATTTTTGTTTACTTAGGAGGATAGGTCTTTCTGTATATCTGAATTCATATCGAATTATGCGAATATCCATTTGGGAATCACTGAAGGCATTGATAAGTACTCCCACTTATTATTCAATTCCTTCAAAGATGGTATCTTTAAAACCGTTGAGGATTCTTCAGATTTCGCAAGATCCTGTCTCCGTGTACCCTTTTCATCGGTAGCTGATTCCCCTGTGACTTCTACTTTGAATGAGCTCCTCACTGGGCGATTGGATAATAACGTGCTTGCCATGTTCCATTCGTCGGTAGGTCCTATTTTTTATTTACTTATTTGCAATTTCAGTATTATATCTCATTAAACGTGTTCTTCTATAGTTTGGACTTTCACTCTACTACTGCTTGCTGGAAGCGTGTTTGTTTAAGAATGTGAGAGAAACTCTCATTCTTGCGTGAGTTTTGACTACATTGTAGTAATTTTATAATTCCTATTCTTTCAGCTCTATTTAACTATAATTTGTTATATTTTGCAGCGGTGAACTACTTGCCTATGCCTCCCGTATAGTGTCGATTCTCGATTCGAATCTGATGCCACTGCCAATGCCTCTGGATTCTTTCCCTCGAGTTAGAGAGGTTGATCCTGCATGGATAATGCGTAAGGACCTCTACAGTGCCTTTGCAGGCCTCCACAAATTCGGTGGAATATTCCGTCATAGAGCTTCGGAGGGTAATATGGCTAAGTCGACTCCTGGATGCGTTCAAAGCACACTACCACCATCATGGACAATACAGTACAGTGGTCAACAGCCGCATCAAATGTTCGTGAGAGGTCTTACCTTACCATAAACGAGTTTCGTCTGAGTTTACTCGATTTTGAAAATAAGCTGTTTTAAGACTTTTTACTCTATTGCAATGCTAGCTAGTTTAGTTTTTTTCCTCTATGACCTACCTGCCGACTAGATATCACCAGACTACAGTTGATTTACCCGGAGATAAAGCGATAAGATTGAATACAGTTTATTCCCATAACCCTTTAAGAACTCCACGACGTATATATGTCTAAGTGATACGATCGTCTTTGTGGTATATTGACTTTCGGCGGTCAAAAAACTCAATAGTACGGGCTCTGAATAACCGTTACTCTTTTGAGTAGTGGCCTGTGCCCGCTTTTCAATGATGACGATTGGCAATTTGGATACCACTCATGGGATTTACTCTTCCTGAGAAAAGAATTACACTGGGACTTTGTTCTTCCAGTAGGATATGAATCCATGTGAATCCGGAGTGTCTGATAATCGGTAGAACTCTATTTCACCATAGTCCCAAGGTCATCGATTTAAATGGACATCGTTGGGAAATCTTACTAAGGCAGATTAGTATTGCTATTAACGACCCAATTTTCTTGGGCTGGTGTTCTTTTACAAGATTTAAGACATCTTGAATTTCATATTTGATGATGTCGATAATGAAAAATTGTTTTTGTAAGATGCTTAAAAGGGTTTTACTTATAACATTTAAGTAACCTCGGTTTTTAATATTTCAGGCAAATTCCGCGAACTTAACTGGTGATCTGACAGTTGGGAATTCGCGCGCCATCTCTCGCATGTGTAGAATAATTTTTACTTTAACACCTTCGCTTCCTTTTGCGTCGAATGGCTCCTACATTTCTGGAGTGTGCTGCTTTTCCATCCTTCTCGTTCCCCTACCATTGACGATAAGCGTTCCCAAACACCCCACCCCTCCTCTTTTCTATATGTCTATAGTGGCACACGTTTAAAAAAACCAACTAAACTACTTGATCAATTAGATTTAGTATGTGTATATTTGTGTAAGCCGAGCGCGTCTTAAATTTATGACTACAATAAATTTTCTTAATTCTCATTACCCTTTAAATAATTTATTATGGTGTCTCTCGGTTGGTTTTGTGATTAGAAGAGGATATTTCATTGTACTTTGAAAGGTGCTTTTTGTGTGTCACTTAACCAATAGCATTTTGACTATTGAAAAGGCTCCGTGTGAAATGCTTGACCTACTTCTGGGTCTAGGGAATGGTCGCCAAGTTCTGATTGCAACGGATGTGAATTTACTCGACGCATCAGGTCCACATGGGATTTCCCCTTATAGATTTGCTTTCCGCCAATGAGGAATTACATTTCTTTTCTTTTTGATAAAGACAATGCTCTGACTCAAAGGAGTTGCATGAAATTTAGACTCGTTTCAAGCAATTAAGTGGGAGAAACTAAGACAGCAGTGGTAAATAGAGCTGGCCGCTATGGTTTATTGTACTCTCTTATACATTTTTTCTAATTTATGATCCCATTAATTCAACTGGCTACATCGCTCTGTGACTGCATCAATTATTATAAGTTTATGCTTTCAATTAGCGAGTTAGTTTATGAGATGTCTGAATAAACTGAAGGTTAGATTCAATTCGCCATTGATAACTGCGTGAAGATTCATAATGGAGATCTGGAAAGATGCAAGATGCAAATGCAGTTACAACGTGATATGATCATATAGTAGGGAAGGAAAGTGGAGGAAGATAGAGGAAACAGCAATGGAATGCAAACGGATTTAGCATAAAATCGGAAATGGCGCCACCACAACCGCTTAAAATTGTCCATTTAAAATGTACTCTTTCCTCCACAATCGGGGCAATTTAAACTGAATAGGCAAAGCAACCAAAATCTCCATCCTTGAAGCCACAATCAATTACATTTTCTTTTCTCTGCTCCAAAGTGCCCGCCAAGAAAATGGGGTTGTGGATGAAGGATGGACGATGAGACCATTGGTAAATGGAACCGAAATCAATTCCTTTTTCTTCCCTCCGATCGATATTATCTCTTAGGGTATACTTGACTATACTTACTAATCCCTAAGGCAGATTCTCCTATTTTTGGAAAGACTCCAAGAACTGTCTAATCTACTGCAACTCTATAGAGGAAACAGACGCATAACGTGAAGCACATTTATTTGGTAATGCATGCTAGCGTGTTAACCTCTTATGACGTGGAACTTCTGGCATAATAACCCCGTAATGACTTCGGCCATTGATTGATCGAATAACCAAGTCCTACTCTAGTCGTAGATACGACCTTTAGTTCAAATGCGTTAACTGGTGACCAGTAAGAAGTTAGCAGGAAAGGGGTTTTTATTTGTTAACAAAGTGGGAATCTTAACACCATCATCAAGCTGACTGAAAACAATGGAAGTTAGGTGACTTTATTCCAAACACTAAATTTCGTAGGATTAGCACTAGCCAATTCTGACAATCCTCATGAAAGTTAAGTTTTGATTTTGTCAAGAAAATTTGCACGCTTCATTGGATGGAATTCTTTGCAAAAAACGGAATCCAATTGCCACGTGTTGGTTTTCTTGGCTGTCATTATGGCAGTTAACATTTGAAGCAATAGCAAGATAGATCAACTGGAGTTTTGCTTTTACTTTACCAGTATAATTTGAAGAATAAATTATGCTGCTTGTGGGACACGTTATCGCGTTGTGCGTCATCATATGCCTGCATGTCTGCTCGCCAGGATTGGGAGGTGCGCCGTACAACTCTGTTTGCAGCGACCGTACAAACAGTGACTAATCATTAACCTCTGTTTAACCTAATCCCCCATCCAGATCATGAGTAGCTCCATGCGTGCACACACTTGATCCGCAATGTACTCACTGAATAAACGTGCTCCGTGCTACACGTCTGTTTCCTTTATAGCTGGGCTGTAGCTAGATGTTGGAGAATCTGCCATAGAGATTTCTGAGTCAGTCAGGCTATACTGCTATTTTACATTAAAAGTAATATCAGAACCTATTTGAGATTTTACTAAATTAAATCTCATTTTTAGATTAATTGCAAAAGGAAAAATACTACTTCAATTAATTACAAATTTAGGAGAAAAAAGATTGAATCAGTGGAAATTATTGTGGGTTCTATTTTAAAATAACCATAAAATAAATAACCTTATGATAAAATTGAGGTGAAATTGTCTTCAAAAGGGCTAGCTTTTCGGACCCAACAGCAGATGCTAAATTTAGGTGGCCAAAGTGATAAGAGGTCATTTAGTGCCATAAAATGCGCTAACTGAACTAATTAGCATAATCAAATAAATTCTCCCTTTTACTATTGGTTCGTCGCCCTAATAAGTTGATCAGGTTTTAAATTATACTATAGTTAATTTAATCACAATGAAGTAGCTTTTAATAGTCAAAATGGAAATTAGCCTTATCAAATAATTCGTAAGAAATGAGTTTTTTAGAGGATTGCTACTATATTAAAGCTTGACCGACTCAGAAATCTCTGTGGCAGATTCTCCAACATCTAGCTAGACTCCCAGAACCAGCTAAGCTATAGC